AGGAGAACCACCGCATAACCGTGCCTCCCACTCCCAACTCAGCCAAACGCCGCAGCATGATACCGTGGTCCACCGTATCAAAAGCCGCTGAGAGGTCCAAAAGAACTAGGACAGAGGAACAACCCCTGTCCCGGGCCCTCCAGAGATCATTCACCAATGTGACCAATGCCATTTCCGTGCTGTATCCCGGCCTGAAGCCTGACTGGAATGGGTCTAGATAGACCGTTTCCTCCAGGTGTCGGGGGAGCTGCCGCGCAACCACACTCTCCACAACCTTCGCCACAAAGCGAAGGTTGGAGACCGGACGATAGTTAGCTAATACATCTGGGTCCAGGGAAGGCTTCTTAAGGAGGGGCCTCACCACCGCTTCCTTCAAGGCTGCGGGGAAGACACCCTCCCGCAAAGAAGCATTTATAATTCCCTGGAGCCAGGCTCGTGTACCCTCCCGGGCAGCCAGTACCAGCCAGGAGGGGCACGGATCCAGTAAACATGTGGTTGCATTCAGCCCCCCGAGAATCCTGTCCACGTCCTCAGGAGCCACAGAGTCAAACTCCTCCCATACAACAGTCTCAAGACTTACTCCTGTCTCCTCCCCTGGGGCCACCCAGTCAGAGTCAAGACCTTCTCGGATCCGAGCGACTTTGTCATACAGATATTGAGCAAAATCCTCGGCCCTCCCCCCCAGGGGATCCTCCCCCCCCTCAACTGGAGGAGGGAGCGGGTCACCCTGAAGAGGGTGGCCGGGCGATTATCTGATGACGCAATGAGGGTGGAGTAGTAATTAGACCTCGCCACCCTCATTGCCACTAGGTAGGATCTAACCTGTATCCTTGCCTGTGTTCGGTCGAATTCGGTTCGGCTCTCCCTCCAACTGCTCTCTAGGCGTCTTTTCCGGCGCTTCATCTCTCTCAGCTCCTCGGTAAACCAGGGAGCCAATTGAGATCTGCGCCGGGTCAGAGGCCGCAAAGGCACGACTCGGTCCAATGCTGCAGCAGCGGCCA